AACATAACTTGCAATGTCTCTCCCTGTAATTTCTCTAATGTTTCTCCCACCTGTTTCTTAACTCCCCCCTAGCTCACTCTTTCATTATCACAACCAATTTCTAACTTGTTTCTTTGACACTACCATTATGCCCAGGTACACTTTCTGCATGTAACGCTGGTTGAGCATTTATGTCTCCATATTTTCTTCAGTCTTACCTCCTTCCTTACTATAGCACTCATCTTTTGATGCACTCAAATATTTCTTCTGAGCACACTTAACACAGTGGAATAATTTGGACATGAATGCCTTTGATCATCCCACTGTCTTTACCAGAGGCCTTTTGTCCTTCTCTGTCTAATGCCTGTTTATTCTTTGGGATGCAGATGGTCTCACATCTCCCTTATAGTGGTATTCTCTTTAACAAAAACCAACAAACTCTGCAGGGCTGTGACTTGCTAGTCTGTCTTGGGGACAAGAATGTTGATAGCAAGGAGACATCATGGCCATGTCCTTGCCTTGTTGGGAAGGGCAGATGCTTGAGCTCTTCTCAGTTCTCACCAAAATGGTCCTTATCTTGTGCTCCTCTTATACTTAGTTTAATGTGTAAAGTACTTTTTTTCTCTCCATGAGGATCTCCTTGTGGATCTTAGTGGACATTCATATGGATTATAATGAAGAATTAGAAACCTACATAAGATGTCAGCAAAATACAAGGCATATTATCAAGGCTTGGACATTCATGATAGTGTGTAAACACTGGTCCTCTAGATACAGTTATTTCTCTTTCACTCCTCACATAAATGTCAGATTTAAAGAATATTAATTCAAATATGGAAGAAAAATACGTATTCTGACTCACAAAGAAATAAAATTTTTTTAAAAATGTCCATGTTTTATAGGACATGGTGCCCTATTTGTTTGAATTAAGTATCTTTAAGAATAAACAGCCATACGTCAAATTAAATATCCTGACATTTCTAATTCTGTGCCACTTTCTGACTTAGCTCCACTCTTCAAATGGAAAAGAAAAAGTATTCTGAAACTTCATCCACATGCAAAGCTAACAACTCAGTATTAATGGTTTAAAAAATAATGCCAAATATATTCTAAAATCCTGTTTCCGCTTTTGCTGACCTGACTATGAATTTTTATAACTAACTCTGTCAAAGAGCAAAGTAAGATTTTTTTTTGCTTGTGACAATGCATCTTCAACATCAGTTCAGTGTAGGTTTTTGCTTTAGCTGACAAAGACCCCCTCCTTCCTAAAATGTTTTCACTAGTAATAACTTGATTATATCAAGGATTCTGCTGTTCAGTGGAAACTGCCTAAATGATTGACTGCTCCCCAAAAGTATGGGAATGATTTCCAAGCTATGCTTTCATGGCAGTTAGGTGGATAAGCAAAGCCCATAAGAATCCTGTTCAAGAGACAGATGATTCTATGTTTGTTCCAGAAGGATATTTTTCATGTTCAGTGAGTAAGCACATTTGTTTTAAACACTGAAAACTACCTACCAGGGATGATCTATTTTTATGCAAACACTATAAACATTACACATGCCACATTAATAATAATAATACAGAAAAGAGTTCTGAGAAATACGAGCTGAGGCACGTGAAGGATGATGTAAATTAAAACACAACCACCACCACCAACAATAATAGGACAGCAAAAATTACAGTAATTTGCCAATCTGGCACTACATACCACTAGCAAGTGTACCTCATAATGTTTATCTTGCTATAATTTTCAGAACATAAAACCATACCTTGATTAAAAGTCTGATCTATTATTCATAGAATCATTTTCGAGAGTTTGTTTATAAAGTCTTGTTTCAAAACAAATGCAAACTCGTCATCTTGGAACAGGTAGGAAAAGCAAAAATTTCACAGTGACACTAATAAACATTTCCTTTTGCTTCTGGGGAGAAAGAGCTTGCACACTCATTTAAAAGAAAAACAACAACAAAAAATGCAACTGTAGACTCTCAACTTTGACAGTCCATGCTTCAGAATTTATACCCTTTGCCTTTACTTCACCAAGGCCATGTACAGCATTTGCTGTTCCTCTTTTTAACCTTTGGAGATGGGTTTAAAGTGTGACAACGCCTATAGTGCTAGCGGTCTTGTGCAGTAACAATTCATACCCTGAGCGCTGACTCGGCACAGGGCTCAGGGTATATTCTCACTTGATTCTCTCACAACCCCATTAAGTAGATCCAATTCCCAGCTTCATCCTAGAAAGAGAAAACTACGGCCTGGAAAGATGAGGTAACTTTGCACAAATTCACATAATTTATAAGTAGTGGCATCATGATACAAACACAGCCAGTCTCACCCACCAGCCATACTCTCAGTTCCTCTGCACAGCCCCAGAACACGAATTTTTAAGAGTAATGCTAAGTAATAAGCCTATATACTATACAAAGAAGTATTTTCTAGAATCTACCAGTTAAGAGTCCATAGTGAAGTCAAACATTTTCTCTGAAATGTTTTGCCAGGTACAGAAAATGCTGCAAAAAGCTTCCCTAAGCATATTTCCTGGATCTCCCAGTTGGCAATTTGATAGGTCTGTTATTATTCCAAAGCATTTGTCCTTAACCATACTAGAGCAATCAAGTGAAGCAAAGCAGGTTACACTGAAAGTATTTATGAAGCAGGGCACACAGTTTTACAAACCCACAAAGCATTCAAAGCTGTTGGAGAGGAAATCTGGTCAATTCAAGTACTAACAGTCACACGTTAAGGCAATTTCCCAACATTTACCTTCCCATCAGTGCTTATAATGAATGCTTTACTATTCAGTATGAAAAGGAAAATCCAAGTACTCAGTACAGAAAGTGTGGGGAAGGTGTTTGTATAACAAAATAAAGCACTAGTCAATGAAACAAAATTAAGTAGCTAGATAGATGGATTTTTGACATTTTTTTCCCTCCCATATACATGGAGATATGATAAAACAAGAGCATTACACAGGCTTCTGAACTGTGCTATCCTATATGATAGCCACTAGCTCCACATGGCTATCAATCGCTTGAAATTTGGCTAATTAACTGACAAACTGAACTGATACTCAATTCAGTTATTGAAAAAAATTTAAGTATCTCTGGAACAGCTTAAGTATGTAAAGTTATTTTTTCAAATGCAAATTTAATGAATTCAAGTACAGATCAGGTGCTTCCAATGAAAATTTAGCATCTGAATTAAGATGTGCTGTGAGTACAAAATACACACTAGATTTCAAAGACATTTAAAAAAGGGAATGTAAAATATCTCATTAATAGTTTTAAAATATTGATTACACATTGAAATGATATTTTAGATATAATGAGTTAAAAATCATGTTAAGATAATTTTAACACTGCTTCTTTTTACTTTTTTGGTGTGACTACAAGAAATTTTAAATTACATATTCAGTGTATAGTATAGTTCTATTGGATAGAGCTGTTCTAGAAGGTAAAGTTGAAAGTCCATTGCTTGTCTTGAAAACAGTTTAAATGTGTGCCCCCAACATTATGAAAATGACAACATTGTTTCCCAGTCATAATCTCCAATCTGGTTGTTGGACAGTAAGAAGCATCATTCTGATTCTTTATTAAGTAGACCCAGCAAGAGATTAAATAATCTCAAATAAAAGGGAGACTGGGAGACTCCATGGGACACCTAGTTCATTCCATTGTTCCAGACACCACTGGTGGTTAAAGCCACGATTTAGTAAAAAGTTTAGCTGGAAACTAGCCAGGCAAGGTACATTTCCAACATGTTCAAAAACAGGCACATTTTCTGGAACTTCTAAACAAGGGAGGATGCAACTGAAGAAATCTCTATAGCATTCTCATTCTTGGAGTCTACATTTTCAAAAGAGATCGTTATTACCCTACACTTCTTAATAACCCCAATGGCATTCTATCCTTTGGGCTACATTCTAAAGGTAGATATAATCAGACAAAACAAATAAATACACAAGTAAACAAATGAGAGACCTCGGTGTGTCAAGAGGTCTAAACTGAGATCCAAGTCTTGTGTGACAAGGAGCAAGATCACTACCTGTTCTTTCATTTCCCACATGGAGATGGGGAGGCTCTTTATCTCCAAAAGCTTCTATTAGCTCTAAAAGTTGGTGATTCTAAATGGATTCTAAAAAGCTAACTCTTACAGAATGCTTTCATTTACATAGCACCTTCCATATTTAATTCACAACAACCTGGTGACGGGCTTTTTAACCCCTTTTTACCGAGGAGAAATCTGAGGTGCAAAGTGGCTAAACGTCCTCCAAATTGACACATTTTTAGAAACTGTGGAGCCTGGGACTACAAGTAATCGAAATCATTCTCCAGTATATTATACTGATTGTCATTTTCTGACAATCACAGAAGTTACACTGAACAATTTTCATATATTAAATCATTTACAACAGATGAGCTAGACAGTCAGATAACTGTCATTTCTTTCAAATACATCTCGCACTCTCCTTTTCTTTTACTGTCGACATTACTTATTTTATATGTAAACTATTAGAACCCAGTGAGACTGTCTATCAAATATGGATTAAAACTATTTGGTAGGCAGTGTCATAACTATTTTAATGATGACAAATCTCTTAATTTTTTTCAATTATCATGTCATACAAACTATGATGTGAACTATGTTTTTCTTTTTTTGTTTGTTTTTCTGAGCCATCTTTGTGAGGGAAAAAAGCAGTCTGTAATAGGTACTTATAACATTTTCTAATGTAGATTGAAAAATAAATGAATTTTTTCCCACAGAAATGTATCTTTAAGGCCTAGAAGAACTGAATCACTTAAAAATTCACCTAATTTTTAACAAAGGACCTTCTCCCCTCAGAAACCTGCTTCATTATTGAGTAATTATACAGTTACTTGTAACATTTTCCATGACTCAGTAGAAAATAACTGTATAGCAGATATTATTTATTAGGCTAAGAGAAAGCATTCCAGTAAACGATTAGTCATTAATTAGTTTAAAAATGGTACACATTTTGGCAAAATTTAAACAACTGGCAGAGCAGTTTTTAAAAGAGTCTGAATTATCCAAACACTTTTCCAACAGACTATTTTACCATAAAAATATTATCACTACAAGGTGATTAAAAGTGTCACAAGATAGAAAAGAAGAGAATTTCAATTTAGCAGATGTTTTATAAATGAATTCAGCTAAACATATACCACTGGTTCAGAAGGACTGAGGCCATATTGATTTAACTGTGACTATCTACAAGTGAAAATCTCCCAGGAGACTATAAATAAGATATATACATCTCACATTCCCCTGGGGAAATTCCTTCAGATCAGCATGCATGGTATTAGATGTCCACAAATGCACCCTTTAACCTGGAAACAAAAGAGAAAGGAAACAGAAGGGATCCCTACCCTTGGGGAAACACAGTAAGTCACAGGCTTGGATTTATTACACTGCTTTTCTATTACGTGTCACCTCATGAGAAAAATGCAAGGTGGGAGTAGGGCAGATGGAGGAGTTAGATGCTTCAGGGGAATCTAACAGTCATGCCTGTTGATGGCAATGTTACTCCCCCACACCAATAGATCAGGAGTTGTTATTTTAAG